CCCCCCCAATAGCTAGCAATCCAAAACAGTCCAGTGGAGCCTGAGCGGTGGGTGTTGCCTTCTGACACACTTCCGGGGATGTCAGGGAGTGTGGCATATGCAAATGAGTTGTGCAAATGAGCTCCTGCACCTCTTTTCCTACGAAATGACCCCTGCCCAAACTGATACCACACGTCCAGACCCTGTACCTAGCAAGAGCATCCTTCTGCTCAAGGAGAAACTAAGCACAGGTATTGCAGGGTCTTAATGAGTGTGGCATTAACAGTGGTGTCAAGATTCACACCAACACTCAAATTAAATGCAGGGACAAAGCTTTTCAAAATGAAAAGAGGTTTTTATGGAACTAACAGAAATAAAATGAGTTAGAACAAAGGTTATCGTTTTTGCAAAGCAGACGGCAGATTTGCAGAATGGAGAAAATAGAGCATTAAAACAGGGAAACCTCCCCCTGCCGAGATACCTGCCTAAGGGCGGGAGGAGAAGGCTAAGAGAAGGAGAACCTCCACCTTCAGAGGCAGTCAACCTCTTAATTCCAGTGCTAGGAGACAACATCGGGAGAAGACCTCAGCCTCTATGTCCTGCTGTTGGACCTCCAGGGGAACTGGCTGGCCACTGTGTGATAATACGGAGAACAAGCCACTGTGTGAGACGGGATGCTGGGCTAGATGGACCCTCCCTGGTCTGACCCAGCAGGGCTCTTCTGAGGTCCTTATCAGGGGAGGCCTCGGCCTCTCTGCCCTGTTTGTTTGGCCCTCCAGAGGAACTGGCTGGCCACTGTGAGATGGGATGCTGGACTAGCCAGTTTGGTGTAGTGGTTAAGTGTGCGGACTCTAATCTGGACTCTAATCTGGGAGAACCTGGTTTGATTCCCTCACTCCTCCACTTGCAGCTGCTGGATGACCTTGGGCAAGCCATAGTTCTCTCAGAGCTGTTCTCTCAAGGGCAGTCCTCAAAAGAGCTCTCTCAGCCCCACCTCCCTCCCAGGATGTCTGCTGTGGTGAGGGGAAGGGAAAGGAGTTTGTAAGCCGCTCTGAGACTCCCTTGGGTAGTGTAGGGTGGGGTATAAATCCAATCTCTTCTTCTTCTTCTTTATAACCATATGACAAAGAAACTAGACAAGAGTGCATTTAGATGGCCCCTAATACAGCGTTCCCAAAAGTCTTAAGCCTGGCCCAGTTTTCTTTAAACACACTGGTCCTTTGATGCCTTTCTTAGACTCTGAAGAGTCTCTCTCTTCTTCTCCTCTCTCTCTCTTCTTCTTGTCTTCTTCTTCTCTCTCCGTACCAGGGCAGACTTGGCTGGCTCCGTCCACGCAGCCTGCAGGGGCGCTCCCTCCTCCGCCCCACCCCAGAACGACAGGTGCAAACAGGTAATCGGAGAGGCCCCTTGCCGGCGGACTTCATCCATCATTGATGGACTTGGGCGGACGGTGGGCAGCTGGGCTCGCTGATCCTTGGAGAAGCCAGAGATCGAGGTGAGCACAAAAGGCCTCCCTGTCTCAGCCTCTGAAGGGGAGCAGATCCGCAGCATAGATGTGAGGAAACGAGGACTGCTCTCCCGAGCCCCCTCAGCTCCGTGCCTTTGGGACCAAGGGAGTGGGAGGAACTCCTTGAGACCGGCACTCTTCTCCTCCAACTCTTTCAGGTGAGGCAGAGAGAGAGAGAGAGGTCCCCCATGAGCCCCAAATGCCCTCAAGTTTTCCTTTTCCCTTTCCCCTCCCAAGTGGCTCTTCTTCTTTCCAAAATGTACGGCTTTTTCGCCCTTGGGAGGAAAAACCCTTAACAGGTTTTGCCCCCCCCCCCAGAAGGTCTGTAGTTCTGCAGTTTGATACCCGAGTGCCATGTGACAGAGCGAGCTCCCACCTCCGGCCCCAGCTCCTGCCAACCTAGCCGTTCGAAAGCAAGAAACTGCAAGTAGATAAATAGGTACCCCGCGGCTGGACCGCCTGATGACACTGGGTATTTTGGGCCACTATGTGACGGTGTGTTGGACCAAAGAGTGATGAACACATGGAATTCACTGCCACAGGAAGTGGTGGCGGCTACAAGCATGGATGGCTTCAAGAGGGATCAGCATATGGAGCAGAGGTCCATCAATGGCTATTATTTATTTTTATTTATTTATTTATTGTATTTATACCCCGCCCTCCCCAATGGGCTCAGGGCGGCTTACAGAGGCAAGACAGCTTGCCATAATAAAACAATAATATACATAACAATTTAAAACATATACTACATCTTAAAATCTGATTAAACAAAGTGCTCAGTGCCATTCATAGTCTAAGGATGACGGATCATATGTTCAAAATTCCAAGAAGACGGCAGAAGACTTCTTCCATATTAGATGTTTCATCGGGACCTATCTATACCACAAGGTATAGATAGGGACTCTGGGGCAAGTGATGCTCTGTCTTCTTGGTGCTTGGGAGGCCGGTCAACAGTGGGAGGGCTTCAAATGTCCTGGCCCCACTGGTGGACCTCCTGATGGCACCTGGTATTTCTGGCCACTGTGTGACACAGAGTGTTGGACTGGATGGGCCTTTGGCCTGATCCAACATTGGCGTCTCTTATGTTCGTATGTTCTTATGGGCCATTGGCCTGATCCAACATTGGCTTCTTTTATGTTCTTCTTCTTTTTTAAAAATTTGTTTTTGTTTTAACACTTATAGACAATCATACATGTATTTCCATACAATTCGAGTCTGTCTTATAACTTCTCTTTAATCCACTTACGTATCCTTGACCATCTTTTCTGATGTACCTCATCATCTTTGCCTTGCATTATAACATTTACTTTATCCATCTCTGCTAATGTTAACAATTTATTAATTCTCATTTTCGTTCGGAGTTTGGTCACACTTCCAGTATTTTGCCCATAAAATTCTAGCAGATGTTACAATAATTATTATTAAATATTTATCACCATACTTAATCTTCTCAGGTAACATATTTAACAAATAATATTCTGGCTCTAGTTCTAAATTTATATTGATAGTTTCAAAAATTACCTTCTGAATCTTACGCCAATATTTTTGAACTTTATGACAATTCCACCACATGTGATAATATGAACCAACCATTCTTTTACATTTCCAGCATTTATTTGCATTATTTTTATAACATTTTGATATTTTTACAGGTGTCCAGTGCCATCTATAAAACATTTTGAAAATGTTCTCTTTTAAGTTGTGGCTCTCATAAGCTTAGATGTCTTCCAGATTTTCGACCAGGTGTCTGTATCTAAATTATGACCTATATCTGTCATCCATGAAATCATAGATGGTTTGATCATCTCGTCTAACATATAATCCTCTAATAACAAGTTATATAATTTTTGAATCAGTTTATCACTGGATGAGAGCCATATCATGTCTAGTTCATTCTTTTTAGTTTCAAAACCGTATGCAGCATCTTTAGCATATCTAGATTTCAGTTGTGTTGCCACCATGATAACTGAATATTTTGTTTTAACAATTCTTCCTCTGTTTTTAATTCATTAATCTTTTAAAATAATAATTCGTAAAACTCTCTACTATTTGATATAGCTAATGATGGTTTAGTAAAGGCTTCTAAAGGTGAAACCCAGAGGGGAATTTTCCTGTAATATCTCACTTTTATATTGGGGTGGGGGGAACGTGCAGATCTGCCCTGGCAGAGGAGGGAGAGCTTGTACCTGAATAAAACTTGGTCTTAAAGGTGCCACCGGACTGTTTTGGATTGCTAGCTATGGGAATGCACAGATCTGCCCTCACAGAGGAGGGAGAGCTTGTACTTGAATAAAACCTGGTCTCTAAGGTGCCACTTGACTGTTTTGGATGGCTAGCTATTGGGGGGTGGGAACGTGCAGATTTGCCCTCGCAGAGTAGGGAGAGCTTGTACCTGAATAAAGCTTGGTCTTAAAGGTGCCACTGGACTGTTTTGGATTGCTAGCTATTGGAGGGGGGGGAGAACGTGCAGATCTGCCCTAACAGAGGAGGGAGAGCTTGTACCTGAATAAGACTTGGTCTTAAAGGTGCCACTGGACTGTTTTGGATTGATGGGGGGGGGGGTGAAACGCACAAATCTGCCCTCACAGACGAAGGAAAGCTTATACCTGAAGGCGGCGGGGGGGGACTCTGCAACTTACCTAGCTGCTTCTTGCTCCTCGTGGCCCGACTGAGGGCTGCTGGGAGAAGGGCGTGGGGCTTGTTGCATGTGCCCGCCCCCTGGGCTCCTTACTGCCTAAGCTCCGCTCCTGTGCACTCCCACAGGAAGTGACCCCTGCCCAGGCCAGATTGGCCCAAGGATCCTGGAGGTTTTGTGACTTCCTCCCTTCATAGAGCAGGGAGCACTGGGGGAATTGGGGTGGGTAGTTGTAAATTTCCTGCACTGTGCAGGGGGTTGGACTAGATGACCTCTGAGTTCCCTTCCAGCTCTATGTTTCTGTGTCTCACACAGGTCTGGGAACTTCAGCCTGCGCCGCCGCTGTCTCTCCCCCAGTGATGGTCTCCCCAGCCATTGCGCTGGCGTTCATTCCTTTCGTGTTCACCCTCATCCTCCGCTACCGCCACTACTTCCTCCTCTTCTACCGGGCAGTGCTGGTCCGGCGGCTGCAGGACTACCTGACTGGTATCCCCAAGGCGGAGAGGGCCTTCCAGTACGTCCTGACCCACGCCATCCCCGGAGACCCCCTGCACATCCTGGAGACCTTCGATCAGTGGAGTTACCACTGCGAGTACCTCAGTAATTTGGGACCCCAGAAAGGTGAGGCTGCCTAGGAAACACCTGATGCAGTAAATGCTAGCCTGTCCCTCCCCTCCCTCCCGAGAGCCAGTTTGGTGTAGTGGCTAGGAGTGTGGACTCTAATCTGGGAGAACCAGGTTTGATTCCCCATTCCTCCACATGCAGCCATCCGGGTGACCTTGGGTCAGTCACCAGTTCTCTCAGAGCTGTTCTCTCAGGAGGAGTTCTCAGCCCCACCTCAGCCCCACCTACCTCACAGGGCGTCTGTGGTGGGGAGGGGAAGGAGTTTGTAAGCTGCTCTGAGACTCCTTCGGGTAGTGAAGGGTGAGGTATAAATCCAATCTCCTCCTCCTTCCTTCCTTCCCTCCTTCTTCCCTTCCGCCAGCGCCCTTCTCCTACTGCAGTTTTGACACCTGTAGCAATACCATTGAAATACTGATTACGAGAAGGATCTAGTCAAGTGGCAGTGTGTTCCAGAGGTGCCTCTTTACAAGGCCTGATTCCTTATTACAAGATCACTGGAGGTTTGGGACGTCTTCCAGTGTTGGTATATGTGGTGCCAAAGCGAGCACAAGGTTTCGGATGTCTTAATGATCGTTGTCTATGTAAAACCTAAGAAATAAAACCTAACCAGTACCTGACAAATAGGGCAACTCTTTTTAAAAAAAACAATATTTGATAGGTTTGCTCAGGGTCATTTCGTAGACAAAGAGGTGCAGGAGCTCATTAGCATAACTCATTTGCATATGCCACACCCCCTGACATCACCGGAAGTGTCAGAAGGCAACACCCACCGCTCAGGCTCCACTGGACTGTTTTG